CGTTCAAAGGCGCATCTAATGATATACATCTCTTCTTCAAACGTCAACTAATGTCGGTATCCCTCCCTTATAAGAGGCCCACTTTACATCACACTAAAATTCTAAAATCCCAAAACTCCCACCTTATGCGAAAAATGACTTTATAGGAAGTCTTCACAAAAAAACCGGTGCATTTGCCTCATGCGGACCCATCTTTGGTACAAGCTGGCATGATGTCAGCAATAGGTTTTGAAATCAATTTAAAATAGTTTAAGAGGGTGACGAAGGGAAGAGCTGTCTGACAGTCACACTTTTTGCTCAAAGCATGGCTATTTGCTCCACTTACTCTAACCTTTCTCAACTGACGCGCATGGACTTTCCTGTTTCTCCTGCATTTTTTCATTAACACAACTTTTTTGTCTAGAAAGATCTAGAAGCGAAATCTCACCATGCTTTAATATATATATGGCTGTTGCAGAAGTTCTGTCCGAAATCGATTCAAAACACCATAAAATCTTGCAGTCAGGTAACGAGTGGACTATACCTGGCAATTTCTACAGGACTCTACAGGTCATCATGCTAGGGTATATAAGCTCGTTTACATAATTAGTAAGCATTATACGCTTTCACCAAGCGGCAAACACGCACATTTATCTTCCATGAGTAGCTGAGAGTTATAAAAACAACGGACACCACTAATAAAATTAACGGTGTCTCTGGAGGAGAGACACTGACGTATTGCACAGTGCGCTGTTGGCACAGCCACTATGAGGCTGACGATACTAGCCTCGAAGACGTTGAACGCAACGGTGCTCCAGTGTGCGTCAATAATAAAGATGCAGCATTCACTGGAAGAGAAACCAGATATCTGTGCGCAAGTTGGCCAGGAAGATGGGGTGCTACCATACAACAGCTTTTCGACATCTCCAGAATTTAAACCACCACAAAGAGACTGCTAGATGGACATCTCATCATTTGAGTGAAGCCGCTACGGACTGTCGTGTTAACATCGGTCAGTCCCTCCTGCTCCGCCCTCAAAGAAAGGATTTTCTCGGTGATGTAATTGCTGGAGGCAGCTGGGTCCTCTACGACGATGTCAAAAGACGAGCCTTCTGGTTATCGAAAGAACAAGAGCCGCCGTCTGATCCCAAAGTGAACCGCCATCAGCACAAGGTTATATTGTCTTGCTGGTTTGATTCCCGGGTAATGGTCTACTACGAGTTACTGCACAAAGGTGTTACGGTTCCCACAAGCGTATACGTACAGCAGCTTGAAAAAATGGCGGCAGCAGTTCGGGAAAAATGACCAAGATGTAAATGTGCAACAATGTGCAATAGAGCATTACCCGGGAATCAAACCAGCAAGACAATATAACCTCCTCCACTACAATGCGCTAGCACATAGAATTGGCCACCCAGCAAAATTGGCTAAGCTAGAGTGGCAAGTGGTACCCCACCCACCATATAGCCCAGACCTTTCGTCTTGCGACCACAAACTTTTCCGCCCTCTCAAGCAGTTTTCAGCGGCAGTTCGCTGATGAAGAAGAAGTGAAAACGGCATTTGACGAATTTAAGGCGCAATAACCCAGTTTTTGGAAAGAGGTATTGAAAAACTGCCGACAGATGGGCTAAGGTTATAGAGAACCATGGAGATTGCACACTTGATTGAGTTTTGTTGTTACAAAATTGTTAACAAAAGTGAGTAGATTTTTCGGACAAACTCATGCAACATAACAATGACCACACTCCTACTGTTACTTCTTAAAGATAATTCTTTCAGTCACTGCTCTAGACTAAGCCTTCTAATCTTGTTTTTATAAACCAGATTCGGAGCATATCGTTATGCGCGCTGCAAACGAGGTATAGTTGACTGCACGGAATCGCCCGGGTTGCACGCCC